TGTAAAATCGTTAAGCCTACAATCATGGGTCATAGAAAAGCGTCCAAAGAAATTTTGGACTTTAGTAGATAAATGCATCAAGGACTATGTGGTTGTTACATTTTTTTTGTTTATATTTTATGTCCCAAAGTGACAGTAGGACGAGTATGGGAGAATCCTAATTAAACCAACTCTTGTGGGAAATCCAAACTGCACTAGGACTAGGGGTGCAACTTGGATGGACCCAATCCGATTTCGAATCAGTCCAACCCAAAATTTTACACAAATTAGGCTTAGATTTTCAGTCCTCAGGTCAGGTTCGGGCCCAATAATTCAGGCTTTTTAATTTTTCGTGACAAGCTTAGGCCTAGCCTTCAGGTAGCCCAAGCCCGATTCAGGCCCAGGCCGGAATTCAACCCGAGCGCATCAAATTACAATGCAAGCTAGACTTGAGTGGAAAGATCGGGCTTGATCTCGGGTTCGGTCCAGGCTCAAGCTTAAGCCCAAATTTAAGGTCAAGCCCAAGTTGACCATAAACCCGGCCCAACCTGCCTAACTTGCACCCCTAAGATGAAAGGAATCTAAGGAATCTAAGATGAATCTAGAGCTTGTCTTTTAGTGTCCAACTTGATCTAGGAACTCGTGATATGCCCAAGTGATTAAACGCTAGCAACTGCCTTGAAATAGTTTTAAAGAAACTAAGTTTTAGGAGGTTTCCTAGTCAGAACAGAACTCTTGGCCAAAGCTTATATGATGGTGGTTTGTTGAGTCAATGACTCTTTATGTGGTTTCCCAACTATATTTGAACATTGTTGTGTAGAAGGACCGAATTGTCCTTTAAATTTGTATGTAGAGGCCAATGTGATAATTGACAAGACTTAACTGTAAATGTGTAGTTAGACACTTAGACATCTTTATGGTTTTAGAAAGTCTTTGTAATCCCAACCAAAGATTAAAGAGTGGATGGAAGATTCCAATCCAAGAGAAAAGATATATAGTCTCTCTCTTGAAACCCTAATCCTTAAGGATGAAAACCCTAATAGGATCAAGGTTCAAAATTTCATTATGTATCGGCTGATATGTATCGTATCAATGGGTCATTAATACGTGAAATGAAGGAGTTTCGGGGTACGACCTGTTTCAAGGGGTAATCAGGCCTTCAACTGACCCCTGAACATATTTTGAAAAAAAAAAAAAAAAAACTAAAAAAATATAAGAGTGTCGATACAAAGTCCGATACACCCAATTTGGCATATCGGACTTATCAAAACTTTGAACCTTGAAAAGGATCTCACACCCCCTTAGAACCATGCTTCTCTTTAACATATAAGATATTTTGAGATCTTAGTGAGCTGAATTCAACCAAGGCTGCAGCTTGGGCCAATCAGGTTGGGTTCGGTTGGATTGGGTTGATGCTCGGGTTAGGGTTAGGATTGAAATTTATGAACCCGACTTTACTTCGGATTAGGTTAGGGTTGACCCCTTGGGCAACCCCGTCCCAACCCGAACCCAACTATAGTACATATCATATATAAATATATGTTATATATATGATCATACATTGATTTGTTTATATACATGATAGTTGTATAACCACTACCACATACTATCATTTATTTCATTTAAGATAATCACTTCACTTAATCCTAATTGGAAATACTAAAACCTTGATAACATATTTTATGTTTTCTAAATATTTTATTCTTTATCTCATCTCTGTTGTTTGCCACCCATACCTTGCTGCCCATAAAAGATCTATTATAAGTCATCATAATAAACTATAGTCATTTCAAACATTTTTTTCCGAATTTTGTACTGAACCAATAAAAACATCAACAAACAAATACTAATAAAACATAAGATTAATATATGTAATGAAAGTTGAGTTAAGATCTAAGATTAAGAAGTTCTACATGAATATAAGGAATGAAAAGAAGATTAGGTTGGGCCCAACTCGAAGTTGACTTTGGGTTGGGTTGGGTTGGGTTGGGTTAGGGTTGAAGGAATTTAGTTAGGTTTGGATAGGTCGGATTAGGTTAGGGTTAAGGGTTTGGAACTTAGGGTTGGGCTAGGGTTGGCCTCAACCCGACCTAACCCGGCCCGACTTGCAGCCCTACAACCAACCCTAAAGGAGAGTTCAATCTACCCTTATCTGGTACCTAACAAGTCCAGAACTGATTGTTGAAACACAGCAAGTAAAGGGAGCGTTTTGACTTCCATCAAAGAATTCAGACCTAGGAATTGAATATTGGGCAGCAATTTACAACATGAAATAATCAAAAATATAAAAAAAAAAAAAATTGTCAGATACTCCATGGTTACTTTGGGTTTACGATGAATCAAATTAACATTATTTCTTACCATTTCACTTTCAGGCTACAAGTTGGGGACCTAAATAAAAAATTTATTTCATCAACAGCGAGCAAGCTAGAATTGTCATACGAAAGAGTATTTTTAGAACCTATTCACCACTAATGCAAAAGGGATTAACCATCAAATCCTTTGCAATATCTCCTCCAAATTGTCTAAAGAAGCTAATCAAGTTCTAATTCAACCCCTCCCTAAAGAAGGGATTTAAAACATATTTTTTAAAACATATTTTTACATTGACAAATGACAGACCAATGCATATTTACATTGATAATAAGATGTAAAAGTACATAAACAAAAAAGAAGTAAATTTGTATTCAAGTGGGCTTTTGATAAAAAAAGGGTTTTTGATAAATCCTGATCGTAGATCAATGCCAAATCCACAGGCAGGATGTGGTTTATAGGGCGGGGGGGCTATTAGTAGACTAGGAGGGGGCTGTAACTTCAGATTTCTGAGGTGGAGTGCTGTCTACTTATCCCTAAAAAAAAGCATATGCTTTATTGGAAGTTGTGTTTGCATCCATTACAGCTAAAAGTTTATTTGGTAAAAAGGTAAATTTATCAATGGAAAAACTAACCCAACTTTACAATTTACATTACAACTAAAAGTTTATTTGGTAAAAAGGTAAATTTATCAAATGCAAAACTAACCCAACTTTACAATTTATATGGACCGTTTTACCAACAAATCAGAGTTATTCTTCAGTCAGAATATGCCAAGAAAGTTTAGAAAGGTGTTATTATCCATTCTTGAAATTGAAGAAATGAAAAGGCATGGTTGCTACTTGGGGATTGCTATCAGCATTGGTTGAAGAAAGAAAGATTAGCTTCAAGAAATGCTATAAAGAATTAAATCCAAAACGAAAGGATGGAAAATAACTTTGCCTACCCAAGCAGGCTGAGAAGTTTTTACTAAAGTTGTTGTCACATCTACTCCAAATGAATCACATCAAGATTCCCCAACACATCATCAGGAGCATTCACAAAGAATGCTCTGCGTTTTTCTGGGGTCAGAAATCTGATGAAAGGAAGATGATTTGGAACAAGTGAAAAAATGTGTGGCAATAAGAAAGGTGGGAAGGGGTTCTGAGACCTTTCAGTTTTCAACTTGGCTTTACTTGCCAAATTAGCTTGGAAGCTACTGCATTGGGGACTCTCTTAACGCAAGAACCATCAAAGTTCATTATATTCCCAATTCTAGTTTCATTAAAGCAAGGTGCAAGTCTAACCCATCTTGGGGATGGCGAAGCATTATAGCCAGAAGAGACTTTCTATTGCAGGGCCTAGTTTGGAGAATTCGCTGGGATGCAAGATCATTACAAATAGGCCAGAGGACACTAAAGATATAGATGATGCAAGAAGTTGCCTTCAAACATATTCTTTCCAAACGATAATGACATTACTCGGACTTATATTCTAGTTTTAAATTGGCTTCAGTCCTTTCACGAAATTTTCTTTAGGATCTAATCCACATATATAAATAAATTACTGGCTTCCGGCTTTGCAAGGTGGGCTCCACTCAAACAGCCTATAAGTAAAGCTTGGTGACAAATATGGGTAGCCCAAATCGGCTGTCAGTCAATCATTTAAGGGGCAGTTCACTTCAGCCACTTCAAATAATTTACCGGCTGTGTTTGGTTTGAAGGAAAAGGTAGAGAAAGGAAGGAAAAAGTAAGAAAACCTTAAAAAAACTTGTATTGGTTTCCCTACCTTTTTCTTCAAACCAAACATAGCCTAAAGATTGAATCTCCTTCCAACAAAGAAGAAAAAAAAATCTCTTCCTACACATTCAAACATGATCTATGTCGCACACCTCAAACATGTAAGACCAAGTACCATTTGGATAATCTAAATTTTTTAATGAGTTTAGAATATCCTTTTTCCTTCATCCCGCCTTTTCTATTTTGCCTCTGCCTCCTATAAAAATTTCAAGAAAGTATTTTCATCATTTACTTTCCATTTAACTTTAAAAAAAAAATAGTATTAAAACATCTGAAACGTTTTTATTTTATAATTAATACAAATTGTAGGTTAAAAATTTAAAAAAAAAGACATTTAAGATAATAAAAAATAAGTACTGGAGTACTGGAAATCTGGATATCATTCAGCTTCTAAAATGGCTAAAAAGACACAAAATTTTGATTGTAAGTACACAATGGACAACTTGTTGCTTTTTAGAACATGTGTTATTTGATTCAGAATTCTTCGTAAATCATATGATTTTTCATTCAGTTTGAAAAGAGTACAAATACAAATATATACAGTGAAAATATATGCAAAATACAAGGTTTTGCACTCTACATATTTGTATTTGTACTCTTACAAAACTGAGCCGTAAGAGATAAGCAGAAATAGACATGAGAGAGAATGTTGATATATAATCACCGGAAAGGAACGTAAAAGATACAAAGGTCATTCAACACCATGGGGAAGAAGACGCATAGTAAATTCCATTCAATTTTACGTCGACCGGGATTTTATTGCAAGCATTGAACCATGACAGCAACGTGGATGGGCATTTCTTGTTCATTAGTTTCTTGTTCTTTTTCTTCTTTTTTTCCCTTTTCTGAAGCTTCAAATGAAAAAGAAAAGGTCTTGCCAAAAACAAAAAAGAAAGGCAACCAATTATTAAATCATAATAAAAAATCCAACCCGACCTGCCGGATTCGAACCAGCAACCAAAGGATCTTCCAGTAGCTAATAGCCTACTGTAGTCCTGCACTCTTCCAATTGAGCTAAGGTCGGTTCAATGTGTCCATTTGAAATTACTCTAAGCTTTAGCTTTGTAAGGTTTTGAACGACTAAATTTCTTTAATCAAAAGAATGCGGCACCAGACCTTTGTATATTAGACCAGACCATACGTAGAGATCATAGTAGATGACTAGATGACATTGTTCCGCTTATTGACGTCTCCCTCCTACCAACTCCCCTCACTAGATAAAAAAAATAATAATAATAAGGAATGAGGTTTTATTATAACCAATTAAAGCTCAAATTTTTGGGTCCTTGTTTATGTTAATTGTAAAATATAATTTCACATTTTCATTATCACCAAAACCATTAGACGAAAGTGAGAAATCATGCCAAAAGATGAGAACGTACCAGAAGGATAACGATTGGCCCCTGACGTCATCATTATCTAGGTAAAATATGGAGAAATTCTGTAGCACAGTATCTTAAATACGACGAAATTCTGTACCACGATGGGTTCCTGCATGCACAAAAATGAAACTCATCCATATAAATTGCAAAACAAAAGCAAAAAAGGGAAAAACACATTTGCCATCTTGTTCAATAAAATGCCACGTAACCTGAGAAACACTAATGAAAAAACACATTTGTCATTTTCAAAACCAGTTCTACCAGAAAACAATTGGTAAACAGTTTATTACACGGCAACTGGACAGTCACCAAAAGATAAAATCTTCTCCTTATACATTGCCAGTTTGGTAGTTTCAGATTATACGCTCAGCTAAAAACAAAAGATTGCACGTTTAGCTTGGATATGTGCACCTGCGTTTATTTGGAAAAACTCGAACCTATGGTTCTTTGTAAATGGGAATCATCCTTGTAAACAAGATGCTACACAAATGCCAGAACGCACAACATCAAGTGAATGCACCATGCAATTGGTGAAGAGTTGGGGCCAATTTCCGCTTAGTACATTTTTAGGCTCCATGGTATCATACTATCATCAAAAGGTGCACTTCACCATTTAAGGAGGCTTGGAGAAACCTGCCATTTCTGACCTTTCTGCTTCTTCGACCCTCTTCCACTATTTTCTCTTCTTTTTTTTTGTTTTTTCTTTTTTTTTGGGGGGGGGGGATTAAATTAGATATATATCAAATATCTTGCAACTAGCACAAGCATCCTATAATATGTTCTTTTTATTGATATTTTGGGGCCAAAATATTGAATCATATATTGATCCCTCCTAGTGCCGAGACTAGGAAATCGGCAATCTACACAATTCTGGAGTGAGCATTGGAAATAACAGGCAGTTTCAGGGAGATTATTGCCATAATTCTAATTGAAAAGAACACCCAAATTTCAGAACCAAGGAGAAAATTTTCCAAGATAAACTTTATTCCTTGTGAGATTTTTATTATATCAATAAGTGAGAATTTAGTTTTATAACCGTACAGAATAATATTCAGACTGCTCCATGCGTGGAAGCAAACCAATAACCAAATTTACAGCTTTAAGTGGAGAAACTCATCTGCAACTTGAGATCATCTAGATGCCCGTACAGCAACCACCAAAATTGGCATTCATGAACTTACGCCCATTTCTCATTTGGGAAACTAATGAGATCCCCATCAATGCCAGTTGCTATTGAGATCAGGCACAAAATTATTACCTGAAAATCAAATCAAGAGCAAATGGTCACTGTCAAAACACACTCCAGAAATTGCACCCCTTTGACCTATGTTTGGTACCCTATTCATAGATTATTCATAAAGAAAAAGGATCATTGGCTAGATGGGCACCTAGTTGCCTAAGAAACACGGGCATGTACCCGTGTCTCCAATCCATCTTAGACCGCTATTGTTTATGCCAATACAAGGTTACAAATGCTGCCTGGAAAGAACATTGCAAAAAATGTTCTGCAAGAGTATATTTTGTTACAATTTCAACTAATATTTTAGTACTTCATTACAAGATGGTTTTGCAATAATTAGTTTTTTTTGTTATGCTCATCAACTAAATATTTTAGTATTTTTAAGATTTGGAAATGAAAGATACAACACAACACATCACATGAAATGTCACAGACACGTTGAAAACCAGTAGTGTGACTTCAACCTACAATAGTAAGAAAAAGGATGGCTAAACGCATAGCAGGTCTAGTTACCTAAACGATTGATAGGGTAAAGTAAAATAACAATCTACAATATAAATGACACAAGGGCACAGGGAGAAGGTGAGCTTAGTATGTGATGACAAGCTGTTCTTTCCTTAAATCATGCCAACCATGTACATATATTTTTTGAAATATCTAGGCAAAATTTTCAACCAGGAAGTTGGAGTAGAAGATGTGAGATGACATATCGCCAAATAAATTTAGTATTCAACCCCCTCCCCCCCTTGCATGTGCACCAACCATACTGTTATGCCTGTGTTAGACTAACATGCTCAAGGAATTATACACTTGATATAAATGTTTATTGAATTCCAGCAGCAACTACAGATAATACAATAGAACATATATCTGAAATACTTTGGTTGGGTTTTCTAGATACATACAAAAGATGATAAAGCCTTGATAAAGATTGCTGCCGTAGCTCGTTCTCTCTTCATATTGCAGTTTAAGCTTCCAGCCAAATGGGAGGGGGCATGATGAAAGCTTACAAAAGCTTGAACAAATAAGCAGCAACTTCAAAGATGCACCTCAATGTGAATGATTCAGCCCAACTATAAGAAAAGATAAGCATGACCATTAGAAACATTCGTATTGTCATAAATAAAAAGCATGTCACAAGATCCAGATCTGATTAGACAGTTGTTCTCAAGCGCATCATTAGCAGGCTAATTCCGCTCCAGGTATTGTAACAACAAGACAAAAGGAAAACCATTATTTGAACAGAACTTTCATTAACATGAAAACAAAAAGTACATAAAAACCAACCAAAACCTCTTATTTCAGGTTTAAACTCAACAGTAGCTCATTTTTATGCAACGTAACGATATAATTCATAATTTCTCCTTAAACAACTTCAAGAGAAAGACACGAAAACAAAGAACTTCTATAATCTGTTTACTGGCCCGAGACAGATTGGGACAGATGAATTAAACAAAATTTGGAAGCAAACTAGAAAAACTCGTTTACATTGCATCAAACAAAGACCTCAAAATATGATTTTTCCTGAAAATGCATATTTTGCCAGTTTCCACACCTCAGCCTTGCGGAAGAATTCCCACTCAGAAGTTTTTGAAGGAAGACACTTTAATGTGTAAATGAAGATTGTGGAGAGGGGCCTCACAGAACAACATCCTGATGAATTGAGAAGATGGTTTTGGATAAGGGACACACATTCAGAAGTTGTAAAGATAAGATGAGAACCTCTATGAAGACTGCATTGAAGTTTTTTTTTATTCTTTATCCATTTCAATAAGAAATTTGTGGTAATTCCTCTTGTCAGAGCAAAAGAACAGGATTTGAAGACAACCCCAACGAGCTTTTGAAAGAAATGTAAGATGGTGATCATTAATCAGAAAGACACGTACACAACAGGAAGTACAAACATAAACAGAGAGACAATGAGCATCACACCTCACTTGCTAGGTTGTCGGCCACCAAATTTAGCACCTTTGCCCTCCAAGATTTTCGAATGTGAAAGCATGACTAGATATCCTTCGTTTTCATTTAAGCAGTGAAACGACTCTTACAGCCCCAAGCCATAGAAACCATGCTCCATATAATGTAATTGGATGAATCATCCTCTTGATAGGAAGAGACCAAGGGCAAGTCTTTTGGCAATCCAATCCCCAGAAATCAATGTCAGTCAAATATGCATCTCCAATATGGATGCAATAGGGCCCAAAAGAGGATCCCATTTGATCTAATTAAGATCCTACCCAACCCAATTATCTATATACTTTCACCAAACTACCACCACACTACTGCTTGATCGCTCCTTTGATCATTGAAAGTGAGGTCCACTTGTGAACTGGTGGACCAAGGGATCCACTAAACTAGGTGTAGAAAGCAGTTTCCAGAAACCCCACATGATTGCATGAAAAGCAGCTTCTGATACAACTGACCCCAAAATGGTTGGGATAATGCTTTGTTTAAGTAGAAAACAGAAAGCTACATGTAAAGATCCAACACACTTTTTTTCATCTCCACTGATTGCTTGCAATTGCAAACCTTCTATTGTATGCCCAACATCTACAACACAGCTATGGATGGAAACGAATGATTTCCTCAAATAACAATAACAATAATAATAATGTCATCCTAGAAAATGTTAGCTTTCTTTAAAATTTTGAATCTCTTTAATTGCCTTACAAGATGGGCACTTTTTCTTGCACTGCAATATGAAAGAGGTGTTGCTTAATCTTGGGAAAGTCTGCACATAGGTTTTAAAATATATATTTTCAAATAAATCTAAAAGGATTCCTAGGTTTTCTTGACCTTCCTTGAATTGAGTTTTGACATAAGCAAGCTCAGTTTGTTTTATTTAGGTACCTTATGTCGTTCTGTATCATGGGTTCCAATTTTCGGAGGAACTGATTAGTAGCTCATCATTTGAGATATACTCAGATTACTAAGAAAAATATTATGTTACCCATGGGGATCATTCTTCTGGTCGTCCATGGAGAGTCTCCAGAACATGTAAGATGCTTCCTCGGTTTGTATCAAGAATTTCTGATAGTAGAAGAGTTGAGCCCTCTATTTTGGTAGTTGCAGATTGTGGGTGGGAAGAGAACTGGTCTGGCAGATAATGAGCATTAAAAATGGCAAACTAATGTAGGATTGAAACACTTGATCTTAACCAAAAAGCCAAGAAAGGAAATGAGAGTATCAAGTATAATGCAGGATTGAAACAAATATAATGATGCTGCAGTTCAATAAATAAGGTAATAGATATTTCAGTCAAGCTGACTATGAAGTGTTAAGGTTCAAGTTGACAAATCCCTGGAACTATGCAGATTGGAAGAGTCAAACGATTCACTTAGGCTGCTTGAGCTGGTTCTAACCAATTATATCTAAAACCACTGTATCTAGAGGTAGGTCAGGTTTTGTTAAGGCAATACTTTTCATCAGCTCTGGTAGATTGCAAGAGTCAATTGATTCACTTAGGCTGCTTGAGCTGGTTCTGACCAATTATATCTAAAACCACTGTATCTAGAGGTAGGTCAGGTTTTGTGAAGGCAATACTTTTTTCATCAGCCCTGGTACTTTTGACAGTGGCATGATAATTTAATCAGTTTTAATGAGGGTTGATCCCTGGGGTAGTTACAAAGGGGATACATCCTTGCTTGTGGGCTTTTAGAAGGTTTCACAGTCTCAACTTGTTTCCAGGAAGAGAAAACAAGAGGTGATAGGTACAGGTAGTCACCATATTGGTGGTGGTGGTGGTAGAGGTGGGGTGTGGAGGGTATGGCAGCAGAATCTAACCTTGATCATAATACAGTAGTCTTCACATTGAGAGGAGGCAATGGAGGCTACTACGTCAAATGGATTCCAAAAACAAAGGATTTTTTGAATTTCGTATATAGTTCTTCATAAGATTATGGGATAATAGAATAAGGATTGACATCTAGCACACTACATATAAGGTTGGTGGGCCAGCCGGATCAATCTGGGTCGAGTTATAATTGGTGTTTTTTGATCAATAGTTATAATTGGTGTTATTCATGATTAGGAAGTTGGCTTAAGCCTAGGTTGTAGACAGGGCCTTGTCAAAACATTCTGTCATGCTGAAATGCCAACTGCCCACAAGTGCGTGTGGGTGATGCATATGCATAATAGACATATAACCCTCTATCAGAACAAGAATGACAAAGGCATAGACTGTTCTAGAAATGAAACAAGAAAAGCAGAGATATATTCAACTTCATCTGACCTAGTACATCAATGTGAGAGACATCCCTTTCCTTGTACAAAGATGAGTTGAGGGGACAAATATTTCCTTATATACTTGGGAATGTCATATTCTTTTAATCAGAAAAAGACATGGATTCCACCTTAACTTCAATGCAACCATAAGTAGAGATCTCCACATTATATAGGGAATAGATCGATCTGGTATTCTACGTTAGTATGTCAATGCATTTCAATTTAGATAGAATATACCAAAACAAATTAATGCAATGGAGAAGTAAATTAGTTACAATAATAAAAAAATATCACAAACAAAAATACAAATGTTTTGATAAATTAGAATATATATATATATATATATTTAAACTATAAATATATAAAATATATTATAAATCCTTTAGAAAAAATTATATTATAAATGCATCAGCAAAACCTTTAGGACCTCACATGTCCTATTCCATGCAACACCATCAGTTGCGGATTGCTATAAAGCCATTGTCCAAAATTGCAAAGGCTATTTGAGGTAAATAGCACTGTTAGAACTTAGAAGACCTTGCATGGATTTTTGAAGGTGGGCAGAAAAATATACATGCATAGGGGCAAGTCAAGGAGTGCCTTTTGCTCCATTGAACCTGGAGGGACAAGAGGCAGCCCTGCTTTGAAAGGATACTTTCTAGGTGGTGGCCCAAGAAAATGGGTGCAAACCACAGAGAATTCTTTGATGCCCCTAATACCACCTTCTTGTTTACCTGCTTTGACTAATGGGCATGATACATCTCAGAACACAAAAATGCCCACGCATATCATGTCAACAATAGCTGGTTGGTCTGAAATAAAGGGAATTGAGCTTTTCTTTGGTACAGGTTGTTCAATGAGCTGGCAATTTGCTGCTCTTTGGTTGTTTTTTGTTGGGTGGGTTGTGAATTTTTTGCTTCTCAGGTCATCTTTCTGTAGGTCACTGTGACATTTTGAACTAGCCTACGGGTGCTTCTTTGTATGGTGACTAATGTATACAGGTCAGTGAGGTGTTCCTTTTCTAAGCCACTTCATGTTATATTCCTGTCCTAAGCTTGATGTTTCTCTAATCTTTTTCTCTGTTCGTCAACATTTTCTTATTTTACAATAAAAAAATACAACATCGGAAGAATAATGAAGTGGATTTGAGGTGGAAGGTGACAATATCTTGGAGATGGATAAGAAAAAAGATGAAGCTCACAAGAGAATGTAAAAACATGTCAAGTTGGACATGGTTGAGTCTTTGGTCACTAGAAGTTGTATCATTGTATGTGTAGCCTGTCCACGAGTAGTAGAGGTAGGAGAAAAAATTGAGGTAACTTTGTTTTATCAGAACTTGGGTCCTCTGTTATTCGAAATTTTTAAAATCCCTCTTTCGCTGACTAGTTCAGGACCTTCAGCTTGCTTTTTCCTAGGCATTTCTTCTTTTTTGTCAGTGGTTGTAGACGATACTTGGGGGGATGATAGAACAGATTTTGTTTACACTGCATTTATTTTTCTTTTTTTTATTTTGTTGTAGTTACTTCTTCCATTTATTTTTCGGTATCTTACCTCATATACAGTTTGTGCTCCTCTTTGCGCAACTAAAAGGGACATTGTCAATATTGGTCCTAGATATCTAGGTCTTGGGAAAGGTGGACTGTATTCCTTTTTGTTTAACTATTCTTTTTTATTTTGCATCAAATACATTTGCATATAACTTTAGCAGCTCAATTATATGAGTCAATACCATACAAATAACAATTCCTATGACTTTATTTTACATTCAGACTTTGTTGGGGGTACGAAAAGAAGATCTTGAAGGATGAGAGTTGCATTGAAGGGGCAGATCATATTTGCAAATGCATGGCCACAATCAATTTTAATTATTAATCAAAAATCTAATTAGCAAACAATGAACTATAATTAACTATAAAATTCCTCTACCAAGGAAGGGAGGGAAAATGATGGAAACAATTATATACCTCTGGTAGTCTGTTATTCTCATGTTTCCAATGTAAGCAGCAGGTTTTACACAAGCACTCTGCATGAGAACAACAATAGATATGTAGTTCAAGTAAGAAACATGAAAGACAAAGACATCCAATATTGTTAATGAACATACATGGTATACACCGGTGTAGCAACTCTTAGCGACCTCCTAGTTCATTGATCCACGACACCTGAACCAACCAAAAAATAAGCTATTAGGGCATTGCAGAATAAATACTTGGAATAAGAGATTACAGTGATTGGAGAGAAAATGGCATTGCCCAACATGAGAAAAAGAGCCTAATAGCAACATCTAGAATTCAATAAGCTCTTAAAATAGCCACATTAAGTAAGCATTTCTCACTTCCAAAGGTGGTTTATTAAAATAGCAGTATAGCACCCCCCCCCCCAAATCTGATCTCTATTAGGGGTGTAGTGGATTATCAAGATAACACCCTCAAACAAATCTCTACAAAGGATGTACACAGGTGAAAAAACCTCTCTTTGGATTATGTCCTTTATGGTGTCACAAATCTCAAAAGGGAAGAGCCATCATGTTTGATTATGTCACAAAGAAATCTGCTGAAATCATGGGCTGCTAATTGGCGCAATGGCCCAACAAGTATCTAATCTAGGTCTCCTCTTTGGCAGGATTCCAATTTTATCAAATTTCTGGAGCTTAGCGGACTTTAAAATGCCAAAGTCATTGACTAAAAAGTTCAAAAAAAAAAAAAAACAAGTCACTTTCTTTGGGAGCCTGATGGGTTGAAAAAGGACCAATTGATCAATTGGAAAACAGTGTGTAGGGAAAAAGAAGAATACTCTGTTCGGTAAATGGATTTGGTAGTTTCCCAATGGTTGGACAAGCTATGGCATGCAGTAAAGAATTCATGGACTGGAACATAATGGTTGGGATGCAGGCCTAAATTCAACAGATTCTTTACCATCCCCATGAAAAGTCATTGCTTCCAATCTTGCCTTGTTCTCATCCAATATCCAGTATGATGTCTTGTCTAGCAACAGAACCACGTTTTGGAAAGACCTATAAACAGAACCACGTTTTGGAAAGACCTATGTTGAAGGATCAACTACCAAGGAATTTTCATCTCTTTGACAGCCAATAATGTGTATTTAGCGTCCAATTGTCTTGCAGTTTTGAACCAATGGGATGGCCTGGGATTTGGAATTAGGAAGAGATCTTAGGGTTTTGAAACTCCAATAATTGCTTTATGGAGCAAAGCTTTAAAATGCTGCGAAAGCATGACACAACCCCTTCTTCGTTTCTTTTACTGAAGTGTGCATGCCTCTTGCGAAACACATTTGAGGTGTATGCCTTAAGAGGCACACAGACCTCCAGTGTACGACTCAGAGCATTTTGAGTGTACCTGACTAGGAGGCACACCTCCAGGAATATGCCTCAGATGCCTTCAAAAACATTAATTGAGAGGGGCATTTATTAATCCCAACAAACACAATTCCAGAATCTAAATCTCAGTGTCCTACTATTTTGCATGTGTTTCTTGACCCTTTCAAAGGACCCCCCTGAACTGGTTTGCCCAGTATACAGAGAGGACAGATACCAACTTGAGTTAGAGCATTCTGCTGGGGAAGTATTTCATGACAAGGAAAAAATTTGCAAGAATCTACAGTGGAGAATACCTTTATGGTCTCTCTTAGACCATATTTGCTCCTTTTCAAAGCAAAATTCTCTGATTTACATTTTTTCCTCTCCATTTGGTGACAGGTGGTTTCCTATGACCTGAAGAGCATTGTTCATTAACTCAGTTTTCTCTCCATCAAAAAGGAGAGGTTTTATGGAGGTGTACAATAGCTGCTGTTTTTTGGTGTTTTGGGGAAGAAAGAAATGCTAGACTATTCAAGGATGAAGAAAGGACGGCTGAAGAAATCATTGAAGATATAACCATCAAAACTGTTCATTCGGTAAAGACAACGCACAGCTGTCTCACATTTTACATCGGATTACATCATCAGAAAGTTGGAACAGGTGGCTAATTCTTCCGGTATTGTCTTTCCAGCAGCATAGTTTTTTCCACAACTTGTATGTTGACTTTATATACAAAACATATATTATATATTATATGTTATATATTATATACACCATATATTAAGTTTTTTGTATATTTTATACAAAAAATATTTTAATATGCATAAACTACATATAAATTTATATTTATATATAATTAACTCAACATTTCATTTTTATACTAATTAATTATATATACAAGTTAAAAACTAATTTATTTTTTATTTATTTAATTTCTACCTTATTTAGAAAAAAAATGAAGCAGAATCAAATGACATCCAAGTCAAATAGGATTTGGAATCCAATCCAAAATCCCAAAATCCAATCAGATTTGGATTTACGATTTCATCAGTCAAATTCGATTCAGATGTTGCTGAATGCCTGAATCCAATCCAAAGAGATTTCGCAAATGGGTGTTTAAAACCCCATATATGCATTCAAATTAAGAGCAAGTGCAATAAACTCTACAAATCAGTCATTAATTTGTTTTTGTGATGAGAAACTTATATAGGTTAGTGTATGAAATACATGTTCTTCACATAAGGTACCATAAGATGTGACACAAGTGGCATCACTTGTAAGTTTTTAACAACCCAAGAAAAGTGCATTGTACATTAGGTATTTGCCTAAAGGTAGAGACCTCAGGACGTTTTCCTTGAGCTTCACATTCCTTTTAAGACAATAAACCTGTTCTATAGCTTTTAATTTTTCCGTTTTTTTTTTTGCAATTATAAAGAACATTATCGGTGAAACAAACTGCACATAGAACATTTTTTAATTCTGTTAGAGACAGCCAATATGAATGTAGAGTAGAAGCAGTGCAGTCAGACTAAAACCAGAACAAATGATCAAACTGGTGGCCAAAACATGTGAAAATATCCTTTACTATAATATTTCTTGATGTAAAAAAAAAAAAAAAAAAAAACTTTAAAAGACACTCTGAAATAATTTCTTATGTTTGTTCTTTCTTATTCTAATTTTTAATTGAACGAGGTGAATGCTTGAACAGACATTCAGACCTTTCAACCCATGAGCCATGACTAAGACTCAATGGCAAAAATGGTTGTCCTGTCTGAGTCTGACAACACCGTGCAGAAGTAAAATGTATATATTTGTGTGTTTGTTCACGTTGTATATATTCCATAGATCAAAAAGCAAAAACTAATATACATAAGTGCCTGGAGAAAGCAAGCAATTTTGATAAACAAGTACTACAATAACATATTTTATCAGTAACTAATAAAAATTATTAATGAAAAGTTTGTAATTATATTGCACACATAATATGTGGAAACATTGAATCAGGTTGTCGAAATGTAAATGCAAAGGATTTTGGGCTTCATCCAAGAGAAGGGCCAAAAAAATCATGCCTCAGAAAAAGGGAAAAGTAAAAGAGTTCAATTTCGCCCAATTCAGTGGACTCACCACCTATTTCCAAATTTAAGCCTCCACTAATGACAGAAAATGATGGGATCAAAATCCCACCACATATAGTCTCCCTATATCCCTACTCCACCCTTGAAACCCACCAGATCCAAATACACCCTAATTCCATTAATGAATTAAAACTAAAAAGGTTCTCTCCAATATGGTATAAGTGCTACTAATCTTAGTACAAATACCTCTTTGAACCACAATTGCATGGAATTTTTTTCTCCTCAAGTGGGAACTTGTAATTATATGTAATTTCTTCACCAGCAGCTATATGTCGTTTTGCATAAATGAATATCTTCTTCTGACCATCAACAGTGATGACCTTTGTATAGCAGTTAGGCTGAAAGAGAATTTAGTGGAAGAAGGTAATCAAAAAACTGAATACATTTGGATTCCTTTCAACCAAATTGTTAGTAAATTACACAATACCTCACATGAATGGTTTATAAATCTTGCAACCCCACCACGCTTTGTAGCATCAACCTAGAAGCATTAGGAGATATGAATGCTTAAAGATCAATATCAACAGGTAAACTAGTAGTCAATAGTCAACCAAGGTGCCATTGTATGTTAAGGAGTTAAAAAACAATATAAAAAGTTGCATCTGCATTGTACAAGAGGAATCTAGAAGATCCAGATCTTAAATGACTGGCAGAAAGTAAAGAATTAAAGGCATGGCATTAGGTTACACAGTCCAGAAGAATCTGATGTATTCATGCCTATGGATTGTGTTATAGACGCCTTTATTGGGAAGCAGTATTGCCGCCGACAGCAGCAGTAAAGGGTGTTCTCATCTTATCTAATTCAGTTCTCATCTTATCTCAGTGTTCTCATCTTATCTAATTCAGTGTCTATCTTATCTGTTTTCAGTAGTATAGATCAGTAGGGAGTCTATGGATTAGTAGGGAGTCTTATCTGTTATKTGTTCTTATCTAAATTCAGTAGTATAGATCAGTAGGAGTCCTCCAAAAAGTAGGATTCTTATCTTCCTGTAATCTCCTATTTAAAGGAGCTAATGATATTCAATAAGGCATCGAATTTCTCAGTCAAGACAGAGTAGAGGAGAGTTGGTGATCTCTTGGACAATCACCATTAAGGCGCCAAGATAGGTACCTCAAGAAAAGGGAGGAACAAGGGGGAACAAGAGGTTCTCCCTGTTGACCAACCTGTGACAAGATCCTATTTGCAGGCCCTTAACAGATTGAGTATATCATGTCGAAACATTTTTATAGATTATGGGACGGTTAACAGAACCAGGTTGCTTGAATTGAGTATATCATGTAAAAACTCATGCAAATGTTCGTCATGATTGTTTAAAAGAAAATTAAAAAAAAAAAAAGTTCCATAAAGCACCAATGATATAAAACATCAGAAAACATGAAAATTAAGAAAGCCTCTTTGCTCACCACATAACCATCATCCAATCTAAACAGATAGCTGCTGCCAATTCCCATCTTTTCATATTGGCGTTCACGTATATCGGATATCTATCATTTCACAAAGCAAACTTATGAAAAATACATAAAAACACAAAATGATCAAAGAACGGAAATAAGGAAAAGAACAAAACTGAAGCTAAAAAGCAAATAGCTTAAACAAGAGTTGTGATATCAAAACTTACTCGAGGACGAATTAACTCGCCTACATATTCAATTACAAAGTCTTCTGCTTCAATTGGCTCAAGAGCAACAAGACCCCAATCATGTATTTTGCTTCGCTGAAAACGGAGACGCTTTTTCCTTGCCTAATAAGATAACATAAAATACTTCAAACTCATGTGACTGAGTAAAAAGAATGAGGCTTTAGCTAAGAGCTCAAATTCATGCTTCCTTTACCTTACACTGAGTTGCTTTCAAAAGATCAGCTCCATCTGCAGCAGCTAGAAGGTTACGAAGCTTAACTCTGTTTGTCCTTGCAGAAAGGCCTTTTCCATTTGAAGACTGAGACAAACTAATCTCAGAATTTAAATATTGCATAGGAACAACTTGAGTTCCCCTAACACGAGCTCTGTCAGCAGGACTTGCATTCAGTGACCACTTGTGCCATTCCCAGCCATTAATAGAAGCCCGAGCACAGCCATCAGAAAAAGGACACGGATTTGATATTCTGTGTTTAGTAATAGATTTGAACTTGCGCACTGTTACTTGCTTACTCGTTCCTTTTTTTGTAACACCAGGATGCTTAAGTTTCAAAACCTTAGGTGGGGGACACAATTCTGTGCCATCAATCAGAAGCTTCCTTTTCAGATGAGATACTTTGGTTGCTGTATGCACAAAAGCAAAACAATGTAACTTTGAGCAAAGAAAGGTAAACAAATCATTACAATATCTCAGTTAAATTCAGGAATTTGAGCAAAGAAAGGTAAACAAAAGAGGATATACTTATGAAAATAATGTAACTTTGATTGAAAATAATGAGTTTCCTTTCTTCTTTTCTTTTATCTGAAAAAAATGCAACTTTGATTGAAATGCTTTACCCCAAAGTTGAATATGCAAAACCTAGACATCCTTTATCTAATGTGCTTCAAGAGAGCCCAATAGTGCATGAATAGACAATTTAGAAGAATCCTTGGATTCTTCAAAGGCAGCCACAATATGATCAAATTTTGCAAGTACTCTTACCAAAACTTTCTCTACAATTTTCTTATCAATTCACAATCTCTACTATTCTTGAGAAATAGGCTTGAATTTATTCACCATCTTTCATGTGTAAATTATCAAATTCAGACCACAAGGATTGAAGTTTGATAGAGATTACATTTCCAAGTCAAGTAAACGAAGTATTCACCATCAAAAATTAGAACTAAACTTGGAGAGAAATTGAGAATAGAATGGCTTGAACTTGATGCCATGATTTGGACAATGTGTGGAATTGGGCAATGCTTTAATACCAAATTTGATAGGGCAGTGAAATATGTGGACCGAGACACCAAGGGCCAAACTAGGTGATAAATACAAGATTACAAAAGCATGATAAAATTGAAAAGAGAAAACTTGGCTTACTCCAAATCTTGAACTGTTTCTTAACTAGAGAATTTCTTCTTCTCTACTTGCTTCTACTTTCTTGGATTACAAATGAGGTAGCCCATTTATAGGCAAAGGCTTCTTCATAGCTAAGAAAATCATGAATTCTGAACACTAACTCTCATGGGACTCCTAGAGCCACATTCATGCTAGTAAATTTTTGCCTCTTCAACTCCCCCACTTTCATGTTCAACTCCCACGTTCATAATTGACTTTCATAAATTATGAATTAATGTTCATCCTGGATCCTGTTGCTTTCTTTGATATGTATAGTTTAAACCATCAATCCTTTTGGGTTACAACAGACAAGATAGTAGATGAATCACACATTTTATTCAAATGCTCATTCAAATCATCATCATCCATAAGCCTTGGCCCAACTATATGAGGTCGGCTCAATGAATCAGGTTTCAACATTCCATTTTGTTCAGTGCCATATCCATTAGTACAACCATGTCCATTTTGATCTGCCCCTAGATTTTCTATTCCCTTCAGCTTATGATGGCACACTTCTTCTTACAGTTGTTGCAGATGGTCCTCTTAGCACATGACCAAATCAACTTAGTCTACTTCAGCTCACACTTTTTCATCTATATCCCTTTGTGTACATTTCTGACCATGCCTTTTCTACTTTTCCCACCCATCCATCTCAACATTCGCATTCACCTACCACATAACTATGGATGCAGCTATCCATATTGCCTATTATTCTCTAATTCTACAAGCAACATCCTCTTTAACATCTCTTTGTTATGAATTATCAAGAAAGTGACAGTGTTTTAAAATCGCAAGGCACAAAAAAGGCGCAAGAGCCAATTTTCACCTGAGGCACAAGAGGCACAAAGCGAGGCATGCGCCGTGCAAAAAAAAAAGCTAAAAATCAAAAAATGTCAGAAAATTTAAAAAATGCCAAAAATTTTAAAAAATATCAAAAGATATCAAACATAATATTAATAAAAAATGTACACTTAAATTTTAAAATAAATGTTTTAAAAAACCTATTATCTAAAATTAAAATACATAAACATAACATGTAAAGTGTATTCAAATGAGAATTTAAAAAATAAAATCAAACATATAAAACATTTTCAAGCATGTAAAGCCCACAATCTCACTTTTTTTCCTCAATTGCATTACTTCAAGTAGCTAATGTGATGTAAAACATATTACATTCCTGATTCTACGAGCCGCCTCTGTGACACACTCCTCGAGGCAAGCCCAAGACAAATTTCTGTTTACTCCCCAAAGCAGCTACCATTAGTCTGACTCTAGTTAAATCCCCTTGTTCAATTGGTCCCGAGAACATTGCCAACACATCATGATTATCATTATTTATAGTAAAAGGCCATTACTTGCACATCAGACGCTTGAAAGTAATGTGCAAGCCAATAAGGGACCTGAAAGGGATTTTAGAATGCTTCCTCATCAAAGTCGGAAATAAAGGATGGAGGACGATGTAGGTATCTCCACTGGTTTCCTTGTCAATATGGAGGAGGGATGTTGAATTTTCAATGAAAGGATAATGTGGGAATACGGTAAACACCCTAATTGATGAGCTTCAATAAGTAAAAAAAAAAATCATTCCCTTGGACCAGACAGTAACCCATCAAAGTGCTTTGTCTACATTTCCCTAGCATTGAAAAGAATGCATTCAAGCATCTGGAAGAGAATGAAAGGAGATCAAGGTTACAAGTAGACATCAAACCGAATTATAGGATTCTCAACACTTAGAGATGTGGCAGTTCACGGGCTAATGAGTTCATAATGCTAGTAACCCTTGAAGCGCTAGTTAGGAGAGAAGAGTATGGTTAGATAAAAGGGAAAAAAAAAGAAAAAAGAAGGCAACAGTGATTTTGACCAAGCCAGTGAATGGGTTTCTATGTTTTCTATTGATGAGTGTCCATAATATTTATTTTGGCACTAATGGTGCAAGATAGCAGGCCTTGCACCTACTTTTTATACCTCCCAAAGAGAGTATAAGTATTTCAACATAAGTCTCAAGGAGCTGGCATGTTATAGGTCTTTTGGGTCAGCTTACTAAAGCTGGTTTCTTTCACAACTTTTTGTTGTATCCATATTTTTTCTAATTAATGAAATCATTTCAGAGTTATTGATCAAAAAAAGAAATGGTAAGATTATTGGGGGCATGCTCCCTGCAGTTGTTTTCAGGTCTATATGGAGTGAAAGGAACAGCAGAATTTTTGAAAGAACCTTTCAAAGTAGATGAAATCATATGGCTGTCAGCTAAACTCTTTTCTTGGGCAAAAGCTTCAAATCTTTCAACTGAACCTCCTTTGTAATTTATTCATATACTGCTATTGTGTATTCTATTATCATGTATATCCACTATATGTAGATGAGGTTTCCTCTTCTATACGATTAATACAATATACTGATCCATGTTTATCCTGGCAGTACTTGGATAGATTCACTCTCATGCCTGACATCCTTTCCTTAGTTTCCAACATAAGCTTCAAGATCATGGTATCCACGAACTGCAAATCAGACACCACCATTGAATCCCTCCCAACCCTGAACCCCCTAATTACAATCGTATCATCTCTAAGGCTGAACTCAACAACCAAAATAGTAAAAACCCATGATGCCAGAAAGATATGATATTGGAAAGGCTTTGACCCATCACAACCCCATAAATTTTGATGAAAACTCACCTGATTGGTTATTACTTTTATGATGCCAATTCATTGGTCGTAAATTTTTCCGATATCATGTCTTTCTGGCATCATAGTGGAACCCATCAAAATAAATAACAGAATATTTGCCATTCTTTAGTGATTTCTTGCATTCCTGAAAGGTTTTGATTGATCCTCAAGTATTTACCAAATCAGTTTTTAATCCTTCTTGATAATTCTTAGTTGTGAATTCTTTTTTATTGCATTCTTGCTTCCTGGAACTCATCTTTCACTGCATTCTATCTTGTTACCTACAAGGTTTGTCATAAACATAAAAAGTTTTTCATCCCTAAAGGGCTACGACAATAAAATGGAACTCACCTAACAACCTAATTTTGCTATTCCTGTTACTTTAGGGCTACTCCCAACCCCAAAACAATACAATACCACCACCCTATGGTGTCACCTAGGTGAAGGATGATAACATAAGCAATTAGCACCTTGTATTAAGTGATGCAGTTAGTTATGTAACATATATAGTGCTTTGAATACAAATATTAGAGACAATACCAGTATAAAATATTTATGCCTTAAATTCAATGATGTGGCAGCTTTCCAACTCCTGTGTGGTGGCATGAGTATTGGGAGAACAGAACATGTTTTATTCATATCAGAATGATAGGAGCGCACCATAAAATACCAAAATTCATTACTATACTCATTTGCCCAAGATCAACACCCCAAAACAGAGTCACAAATAACACTTACATTTTGCTTTCTTTTCAAGGTGATACCCACAGCGATCTTTCTGACCATTATTGAAAACTTTGGCAGATGCACTAGAGTCTTCTGCTGAAGCAGAGACCCCTCCTACACCACATTCAATGTCATCTGGTTTAACCTCACTTCCTGCACAACATCCAAGATTCTTGTCATGATAATATGACTTATATGAAATATTAATTTAAGGACTTATTTTCCAGTGTGACTACATCTAAATCAAACAATGGAGAAATGAAGGCATACTTTTAATGACAAAGCTGATCTTCTTTGATACATGACTAGTCGTCTTCTTGGAAGATGAGAAATTTTCAAGCAATCTAGTTTCATCAACCTGCAATAATGCACCTTTAGAAAGAGATTCTGTTCTGCATTTATTTGGTTCACACTTTTCCAGAACCAAATTTATATTTTCCACTTCTGCCATCTTAGCCACATCTCCAGGAACTTCCTGAGTTCCAGACTTGTTCATATGGTGGTAATTCAGTAATCCATTGCCCACTGAGACCCTACCATGTGATGATAATGCTGGCTTCTTCTTTGATATTTTTTTCTTGCGGAAATATGTATAATCAGCAGCTTTTCCTTTATAAATATTAACAGTTCCTTCCTGAAAATAAACCATAAGCAAGAGAATTCAAGAACACAACACATGAACAGAATTGCATTACAAACATGAATGCAGAGGGAGAGAGAGAGAGATACCTCAGTGGCATCATATTCATAGTTTTTTCTTGAATACCATGACTGAAAACACTGCCACAAAGCAGCATCAGAAATAGAAGAACCACACTCTTGAATGACATCATCATGCAGCTTTTGTCGGCATAGCGCCAGGGCAACATACAAACCAATCTTAGGAACATATTCATCTGACTTGGCTGGTCGAACTTTGACGTTCGGCAACAGAACTATAGATCTAGAATTATCTTCAACCCCAGGGGGTGATGGCTCATCAAACTCAGGATTATCAATCACATCAGCTACTTGTAAGCATAATCTTTCAATGGCACTTGTATAACGATTAAATAGACATTTTTCTGATTGGGAAGAAATGGTTGAATGGGTGGAAAACCTTGATGACTGCTTCACAGTTTCATCATCATCTGATGAAATAGATTGTGCAGAACTATCAAGAACTTCCTTAAAATCCTCAGCTACATCAATGGAAGCCTTGTGACAATGCTTATCAACATCAATAAGATCCTGCAAACGAAAATAGGAAGGTTAAAAAGGAGCATATCAATTTATACGCTGTTACCCAAAAAAAAAAAAAACAAATGACACAGCTGGTTGCTGTATCGGATTTCGAATTTACACTAAAATTCGAAACATCTAACACAAAAAAAAGAAACATCCACAATTAATACAGGTATCAGAACTTTCATACAGGTACCCACATATCAGCCATAACCACAACAAGCAAGCACAAGTGAATCCACTATTAATACTCTACCATCTCCACAGAAAGCAGGCGGAAGACGTAACACCCTAGAAATTCTTAAGAAGAATACCTCACTCAATATATCACCAAGTGCAGAATTACTTAATTTTGCCACTTCCTCCTTGACAAAAATTTCAAAGTACTCAAACAAAGCCAACTTTGCTGATACATGTAGCGCATTTTCTATTCCATCTTGGATATGTTGTACATTATTGAGAACTTTACTGGTGTAAAGGTGATTCTCTTCCAGTGGTGATTCCCCCGCATGAAATGAAGAAATTGAATATGATCTGGCATGACTATCTTTGTTCATCATAACAGGTTCAAAACCAGGAGGGCAATCAACCCCGTAAGTAGAACATTTGTCAGATTGCACCTGAACAATTTCTGAACATAAGTACAACAGAAATAACACATAAATGACAAGAAATCTCCCATGGTAATATAAAGCTTCAGCAATCACCTTATCGATCATGTCTTCAGAATCCTTGAAAAGCTTATCTTCACCAACAGCAACTACAATTGGTAAAATAGGATAACCAGACCAACGCTTTCTTTTTCGCCAGGCACAAGAATAATCTGCTACAGTGTCATAAAACACAGCATTCCAGAGGAGTTGCATACAAGTGTCAAAAAGCATTCTATGGGCTATTGATAATGTCTCGCAAAAGTTTTCAATGCATCGAACAGAAGTTGTATTTGCTAGCATTTCTTTAGATACTCCACAAACAGGAATCACGGGGTCAGATAATGAAAGAGGCATCGGAAGAGCATTTCCAGAAGCAGCAGAGTTAATATCCCGCACATCCCCAGACTGCTGAAGCAAGAGCAATAAAACACTGTAACCTCAGAGCATACAACTTAGACAGTTCCCATGGTACCGAAAAGGTCCAGTACATAAAAGAGTTCAACCAATCAGAACCCTACCCAAATTTGAGTAAAATATCAATTGATTGGTTATTAATTTGTTATGTACCATACCTTTCCGGTACTGCAGTGAGACTGCAAATTATAAGAAATGATTATTCTTTTAGGTTCATGGATATTACCCCTTCCTCAGCAGAATGAGTCTTATGAGCTTGATCTGCGGGCTCCAGTTTGAGATGTTTCTGAGATTTTTTCATAGCCACAAACTCAGGAATTATACTACTTATTATCTCATCTATCAGCACTCGACGAGCTGCCTTCATGATTCCAGTGTGTAATTGGGCAGATACTTCTTCTGATATTTGAGACATGAAGCATGGCAGAGATCTAGCCTTGTGGTTCCCAGTCTGCACTTCAGAATCAATCTCAAATCTATCTCCGTTCCATGTATTTATCATAGATATCAGGGTAAAGGGTTGAAATTTGTTCTGTGCATGATAGATCTACAAAATGAAAGCTAGTTAGCATAATAAGAATATAAGATTAAGGCAATATAACAATCAGAAATCACTATTTTTTTGGAGAAAAAATCAGAATGATTAAATGACCAATGAGAAATCCAATTGTAATGAAACATGTTATGCAGTACACTTGCATAAAATTGATGGCATCTGACTACATAAACTAATACTGTAGCTCAAAATATTAGATAATCTTTTCTGGAAGAAAATAAATGCAGCTTCCGAGCCACTACAAATGTCTCAGACAACCTCTTCAGTTATTTTTTTCAGTTACCCAAGGTAGAATGATAACTAATCGCAATATAAAATCCATTCCATAATTTTAGAAGACAATCAAGCACCAAATGTTTTAATAAAATGAAATATTAGCTATAGCAATCCAAAGAACATGCAGTGCCCACTTTGAACCATCATTTTTTATTGGTAAACAAGAAAAGTTTCCAGGAGTTAAGTTGCAATCATTCAAAGTATAATGTCAAGTTTCCCGCTGATTCATTCACATAATTATGTAACGAATTTGTTTAGTACTATTAAAATTTGACACCTCAACATCATTTCAGCTACATATGCCTGGATAATTCAAAAAAGTTATTTTAGAATGACCTTAAAATATTAGAATAATGAATAATTTGCATATGGGCATGGTTTAAAATGTTCACATATTTCTTTTCCATGGGTACTGACACGAAATACTACCACAATCGACATATTCTCCGATAAAACTACTGGCACTATGCCAGTACACGAGATGCTATTATAACATGATGAGTTGGCAACAATATTGTAGATATGTGGAGTAGTAGTATTATTGATCACCTAATGGAAATGATGACCACTTTGAGTTAGGTTTGAATTCTTGTTGGATGTGACGCTAAATCTCTGTTTTTTGAGAAAGGGTAACTTTCATTAACAAAAAAGGGGAAGGATATACAGGATGTATAAGAGATACATCTGTCCAGCACCGCTCATAAAAACAAAAACCAAAAAAACCTTCCCTACCCATTAAAGAGGAAGCTCTATATTGCTTTACAAAAAGTCCCTACCCACCCCAGGTTTAGCTAGAGCATCTGCCACTAAGGTGGCGTTTGATTGCACTTTTCAGATGTCTGAATTTAAAAAGGTTGCTTTTCAGATGCCACCAAGCGTTTGGTATGCCCTCTTATTAGAGATCTGAAATTGGATTTCAGATCTTAAATTCTAAGAGATAGAGTGGCTGCTTAATGGGTCAGACATAAAACATAGGAATGTAAAAGACATAAATGCCCTTAAAAACTTCTAATATTACATGTTTTGTCCTTCGCATAAAGCGGTAGTTCCTTCTCTCTCTCTCACGCGCTCTCTCTCTCTCCCCTACCTTCCCGTCACCGCTGCTGCAAGTTGCAGCGGAGGCGGTTCCTTCTCTCTCTCTCTCACGCTATCGCTCTCTCTCTCTCTCACGCTATCGCTCTCTCTCTCTCTCCCATGCTTTCCAGTCATTGTCGCTGCAACTTGCAGCGGCGACAATTCCTTCTTACTCTCGCTCTCTCTCTCCCCCTTGTCTTCCTGTCACCTTCGCTGTAAGTTGCAGCGGCAGTGGTTCCTTATCTCTCTCGCTCACTCTCGCTCTCTCTCTCTCTCCCCCACTGCTAGACCTGTTCATGGGCCGGGTAGCCCGACCGCCCGGCCCGCACCCCGGCCGGGCTTGATCATATAATTAGGCCCGCGGGCCTGACCTCGGGCTTAACACAGTAAGCCCGACTGTGTTTCGGGCCGGGCTCGGGATTTGTCAAAAAAGCTCGGCCCGACTCAGTATTAAATAATATAATATTTATTAAAATATATATTTATAATTTAATATATATATATATATTTTTTTTATTCTTTTCTTTATAATTTCAATCTATCTCTCTCTTTATTCAGCTGCTTCAACATTAATAATAATAATATAGGCTAAATTTCGGGCCCGGGCCCAAGCTCGGGCTTCGGGCTTTTTATGAGGGCCGGGCTCGAGCCCAAATTGTAGGGCCGGGCAAGTTCCTTCTCTCTCTCTCTCCCCTGTCTTCCCGTCACCACCGTTGCAATTGCAACAGCAGCGGTTCCTTCTCTCTCTCTCTCCACCTGCAACGGCGATTCAATGAGTAGTAATAATAATAATTTTATTAATTATAAATTATTTCTATTAATAATTATTTTTATATTTTTACTAATTATTAATTATTAATATTTATTATTTATTTTTATTAAACATTATTAATTATTAATTATTTTTATGGTAATTTTTAATTATTTCATTAATTTTAAAAATTATTTTAATTTTTATTTGTGTAAATTATTAATTATTTTAATATTTTTATAGCCATTAATTAGTTTTAATTTTAATCATTTTGTTTAATGATTAGTAATTTTTAATTATTAATTTATTATTTTTTATTTGTATTGTTTCAATATTATTTTGAGGTTGAAAATTATTTTTTATGAGATGATGCAAATTGAATTCAACATTTCCAAATGGTATGTTCTAAGGGTAAAATAGTAAAATTAGTGAATTTCATATGGTAAAGGGTTGATAGAACACAAACAAACTAATGGATTCAGAGCCTCAAAAAAGTAGAAAAGCATCTATGCCTCTTTCCAGATTTCAAACACTTTTAATATCTTTTTAACTTTTCAAACTTCAGATTTCAGATTTATCAAACGCCACCTAAGTCTTATATTCAAGGTACTAACTCCCATTATCTCCATAAATCCTATATATGGGATATTTCCTCAGCAATAAATTCTACTTGTTACTTTATTAGATCTGTATCCAACACTTTTAACAATATTAAACCCATGGCCCATGCTTTTTAAAACCAACCCAAAAATAAAATCGTTCTTCTGTCCAGATGGTGGGTAAACAATTCAACCACCCAGGTCAAATGGGTCAACCCATGATATCATAGTTAAATGATAAAAATTTTTAAATACACATACATACAAAAAAAAATCACTGAACATTTCAGAAACATATTTAATATCATATATTAATTATACTAAACAAAAATAAAAAATAAAAAAATGGGTACATATCTAATGTTTTATATTAATCATATTAAAGAAAAATAAATGTGACAAAAAAGATTTGCTTTTCAATGATGGAAATGAAATACAAAAATGAAATTATTTTACAATCTAGTGGCAAGTCAATAGTTCAACCTTTCGAGTCATGTATCAACCCTTGATGTCATAATGAAATAATAAAAACTCAAAAAGATAAAATATAAAAAATATATATGAAAATACATAGAATGTAGAAAACACTTGGACACATCTCTAATAAAAAATATTCATTATATTAAACAAAAATAAGTGTAATAACTAAGAAATTGTTTGTACACACTAAAATATAAAAAAACATAGAAAATTTGGACACATAACTATTACTATCATCACCATCATCATCATCATTTGTCATCTAAAGTTGTCACATGCTAAGCACATGCACATTTGCCATTACTATATATAATATACCATAACTCATGTATGTTATGAGAATTAATGGTTATCAATCTTCTTGGTTCAACTCTTGCAAATCACGTTTTCCAAATACACATACGTAGTTGGCCAATAATAGGCATTAAAAAAACAAAATATAAACACAAGTGGTGTTGTGGCTTAATGGTAGCATACAATTCTTGGTAAGTAGAAAGTTATAAATCTCATCTCTCCCACCCCCCTTCTTTCTCCCATTTTCTCAATCTATTGCTCCTATGTTTCCGCATAGACTGAGACAGATCAAAAGAACTTGTCAGGGAGGAACTTGCTAAAGGAGCACCCAAGTTTTTTTGGTCAACAACAAAAGTTATATCTTGTTAATGAGACAGAGGAAGAATTAAGAAAGAGCCTCATTCCAGACAGAAGAACAAGGTCAGAAGACAAATAGTCAAATACTGAAATACACTAATAACAAGATAAAAAAATGCATAAAAGATATATTCCCAGGCATAGGGCCTCGAAATACAAGTCCATCTATATTAATCAATTCCTTAAAAACACATCTGCAAGGGCTGTTGGCAGATTAGTATAGTCATCCTGGATTTACACTAAACCTATTACCTAATAAAACATAAAGTCAACTGATTTAAAAATTAAAATACAACTTATACCACCCAAAAGAAAATTTGCGGAGTACATTATTAGAACCAATCAGAAAGAAAAAATTATTACCAACTACATCAATCTATGTTTGTAACTTACCATCAATGAACTGCGAATATATCCATAGTGATGCCAAGAATAAAGCTGTGCAAGAGAATATGGGCCACATTTCCTACCCTCATCATCTTCAAACACCCAACACACTTCTTCACTTGACTGCAACTGGATTAGAGGAGAGGGAAACAACACATAAGAACCATACACAGGAGTGGATAATATTAACTTGTGCACAGCATAAGGGGACAATGAAAAAAAATAGTGTTCCTAGAAGAAAAAAAAATTGCAGGCATGGCTGAGGAGACACGATGATGGAAGGTTACAGTCAACAAGTGGTCATTAACTGGCTAAAATCAGGTAATAGCAAGCAGCTCTTGAATCCTGCTATCCATCATTCTAGATAGTAATCAGCTCTTTTTTCATGCAATAAAATCCTTATACCATTGCATATCAAAAAATGGTAAAAATACTAGACCAGTTCAGCACGGGATCTCCTGAAAGCAAAAATTGTGCAAACAATCTGAGAGCATGGGCATCCAGCCACACATCAGGAACATCTCTTTGTGAATTTAACATACATGAACAGGAGATATTTCCAATGTGTGGCTGGATGCTGTGCTCTCAGAGTGTTTGCTTTCAGGAGATCTGGGCTAGTTTAATACTATAGTACCATATATGTATGGAAAAGAAATGTAAACTTTAAAATACTATAGCACCAAGTATGCATATAAAAGACAAGTGTTATACCATTGGCAGCTCTGATGAAGTCCAGTTAGTTATCTCCGAGTTTGTTTGCATGTTAGCAGGTGCAACATGAGAAACAGTTTCTGTACATCCATGTGTTGCCAAGTCTCCGTTGCAAGAAGTAAAACCATTTGTGGGTTCACTCAGCATTGTGCTTGCAATGCTTGAAGTCCAATATGCAAACCCGGTGGCAACATGCTCAGGAAACTGCTTGAGGTACTTCAAGGGTACAGGATTGATTACAACTCCATTTACAACAGGATAGACAGGAAGTTCTTCTGGCAAAAATCCAGTGGATAATCCTTCATATAATTGTTCTTGAATGTATGGACCGCACATTTGCCCACTCTGGTTAACATACATCCAACCGCTAACAGAAGGGGCATGAGAAAATCCTGCATAATTGTTATCTTGGCAAGGTGGCCTCCCAGTACTGCATGACTGAGAAACATCACCACTGTTGTTCACCAATTGGCAATTGCCCTCCATTGCAACATATGGTCCCATAGTCTCATTAAGATTGCATCCAGATGAAGAAAAATGAGTATCTTGGGAGAACCTGTTGATTGCATTGCAGGAGAAGTGAACCAAGAAAAATAAGTTTGCAAAATACAAATTTGGAATAACACCAGGAAAAACAAGCATTTACTCATACACATAAGAAGAGCAGCCTTCGTGGTCAGATTGTTGAGGCGAGTCCACATCATTGATATTGCTCATACATGTACAAGGGACTGAGATGGGATACTCTGACCACAATGTTTTCCGCCTCTTTCTGGGGAGAACCCAGTGTTCAGATTCATGCAGATGGCCTTCCGGATCAGAATAGTCAGCATTGCTATAGCAACGAGTTGGATCGATTTTACCCTGCAAGAGTTCCTCGTAGGCAACCTGAATAAAAAATTTTGAACGACCCATTATTTCAGTTGCTTAAAGCTCCAAACTATCAGAGACATACGAGACATAATTGAATTCATAACAGAAACAACAATAGTGAAACTTAAAACAGAAAGTAGCAGATGTAACAGGGAGATTGTATAAAGATTTCTTTAATAAAATCCAGATCCAACTTTATCCGAATTAAGCAAATTAATAAAATGGGTTCCTGGTGCACCCACAAACCCACGAAGAAGAAGAAATTGAAGAAGATTTTCAATCATATGATTAAAAAAAGGCGCGAACCAAAAATACTTTAATTAATACATAATCAAACAAATAAAACAAATCCATTTATCGGATAATCAATAAAAGAGCACAAACCCTACAAAGAACAATTACTAAGGCATATGACCAAAAGATAACACAAAACAATTACAGTAATCATTATTAAAAAAGCCCCAAGTTTATGAAAATTTTAACCCAAAACCCTAGCGTATATAAGCAGGGGGAGAGAGAGGGGGGGCAGATCTATAAATTTGTGATGCTACACTCCACAAAGAGGGAAAGCTAAACTCGATGGAGAAACGAAGAAAAAAGATCAGATCTTTCTTTAACAGTATCAGATCGATTATCGTATCCGACGGTGAATTAAAATAGGAATTACTGCACGAGTTGCGAGGGGGGGAACTTCACCAGATCCCGGGCGTCGGGAACTTTCGACGAGTAACCGCCGATGGGAGAAAATACGCAGGTCTCCGGCATCAGGACTACCATATATGCTTTGACCTCGACGGGATCTGATACATGTGACGAGAAGTGGGAAAGAGAGCAACAAGAACCAACGAAATCTTGTTGAAATTTTTTGCCTGGAGACAGTTAGGGTTTGTTAAGTTGGTGCTGGAGAGAAAAAATGTCGAGCGGCGTCTCTTCGCAACCGCGGAGATTGTTTTGTCTATGATTTATACAGAAGCTGTGCTCTCCAACTCCAACCCCAACTCTCCGGGTAAGTTAGGAAGTAAAATGAGATCACCAACCCGATTATGCGGATTCTACGGCCGTGATTTTACACCCATATACAAACATTTCAATCAAACGGCTGCTTTTTCTTTATCCCGCCTTCGTCTAATGTATGACCACTGACCAACACAAAAATTTGGCGAAGTTGTCGAAAAAAATAAAACTGGCAAAGTAAGCGTTCAACTCCTGAAAGTTGCAAATGGATGTGAAGTGGCTGAATTTAATTACTTGTCTTGGTTTTTTTAGGTTAAATAATTAACCAACCCGTACTGTTTGAAAAAAAAATAATTAATGGACAAAATCTTTCCTATCGTTTATGTGTCTTTACAATCCATTCGCATGTCACATGAATTATATAGTTTTTTTTTATTCTAAAACTATCTTTTGCATTCAAATTTATTCTTCATTATTCCTTAAATTTTCAAAATAAATTTAAGGGCAGAATTTTTTTAATTTTTCACACCTTTTCTCGTTATAATGAAAACTTTAGTTGTTCTGATTTGAAGTCTCATATCTTTTTACTACATGGTTTTCAAAAACGGACCCGACTGGATGGTTGGACCAGAAAAACCAGGAATTGGTCAGGTGACCAGTTTTGGTTTTTCCCATAATCGAAAATTTGCCCATAACCCTTGATTTTGGTCAGCAAACTGCTAACCCGGGTGATTAACCGACCGTTCGAACAGTTTTGACCATTTTTTTTGTTATAATGGGTTGATTATTTGGTTCAAACGGTTAAACCGTTCAATCCGATAACCGGACCCCTAACTAGTTCGATCTCTAAGCCATTTTTAAAAATCATGTTTTACTACTCATTCAATTTAGAATGGTCATACTGTGTATAGTTCTATCGTAAAAGAGTTTGGACAATGCTACTTCATCAATTGCAAGTGAATTCTTAAGCATGCTTGGGATTCATCACAGTCCATTTTGATTAAGCTCTTATAGTGAAGGTAAGAGAGCCAAAGGATTCTATTGGTTAATTTGGAGGGAATTGTAGGGTTTGCGATTGTTAGGGATGTTGATGGATTAATGGGGCTCTCAACAACTTTAGATGAAAGGATGAGACTTGATGTTGGATTAGTTGATGATGAAGACCAAATTAGTGTGCGAACTCCAAAGATACTTACTATATATTCATCAGGCCGGATGCACAGATTTGATTACTGGAGCACGAAATGGAGGCAAAAGGCCTGAATCACTAGCGAAGGGAGAGGAAATAAAGGACAATACATTAGAGAAAAAAATATGAAGAGAAAGACATACTTCAGTTCAAAATCATTAAAGTCTAAAGATTAAGCTTAGCAAAAAGAACCCTAGGTACCAAAATGACAACAGTGCAGCATGGGATACCTTGCTTTGCATCTCATCACGTGTTCATGGTACTTGAGTAAAATGGAAAGAATTGGCAGCGTTGAATCCACACACATGGAACCGAAACATTATATTTTCAAGTGAAACTATTAGATTGAGATTTATTGAGGTTGAAGGTTGAAGGTAAGCTAGGTTTTATGTAGACATGAACATTCATGGTTGTGGACGGAAATCGTAGATAAAAAAAAATGATGCAAAAAACACAAACAATCAAGACTCCTTATTAGGTTTCTTGTTCCATTGTACAATGGACATATTTCACAATGTATTGAGAATATCTCTCATCAATAAAAACACTCATAAGATGTTTCCAATGTGCGACTAGGAAGTGCTGTGAGGATCGCTCTATGAACAGCAGACCCAGACCGTAAGTTCACGCTGATCTCATATAGAACATGACGAGTCCTAGTTTTGCTTGACAAGGCAGCCCACTGGCACCCAAAACTTGTCTTCAGTTTCAGAGTTTTTGAAAGATATTTACAATTCAGATGTAAGTGATAGTTTTCATTCAATGAATTGTACCAATGCCTGTGGTGGGGTTGTTATTTTTCTTGGGAGTAGGGATGGACTCCAATGCATATATGAGGGCACCAATAGCTTTAGGCATTTGTATTCTGCCTCATCACTAGTCACCACCTGGTCTGGGGGGACCAGAGGGGTGGTCCAGTGGGAAAGTGGCTTTGTCTCTTTCCCTTCTGCTTGGCATGCGTCCCGTTCACATGGACTGTAGATTTTAAAACAAATAAACAAGGTAATGCAGATGAATTTGTACAAGTTAAACACCCATGAGTAAAATTCATCAACGAATCTTATCTTTTATTATATATATATATATATATATAATAAAAGAAATGAAATCTACTAGTGCGAGTAAATTTCCATGTGAGAGTAATTCATTTCCTATTAATTATATAAATATTGTTAGATAATTAGATTTATACAATTATCTAATTATATAAATATATAATAGTTATTATAAATATTGTTAATCCAATTTCCTATTTGTTATACAAATATTATTAGATAAATATATAATAGTTATTATATATAATTATAAATATTGTAATATAATTATCTAATTATTGTTTATATAATTATCTAATTATATAAATATATAGTAGTTATTATAAATATTGTTAATAATTAGATATCGAACCATTCGAACGGTTTTGACCGTTTTTATTTTTTCTATTTTTTATTTATTTTTTGTTAGAATGGGTTGACCGTTCGACCCGATAACCAGACCCCTGATCGATTCGGTCTCCGGGTTGGTTTTAAAAACCATGATGTTATGTCATTCGACCGTGTGACTCATACGACTCGAAAATGGAACCATTATGGCCACCAGTTTTCGGGTTAACAGTTCGATCTCCGATTTGAACGAACGGCCCGTTCTATCAACAAAAACTAAAAAATAAAAAAAATGACCAAAAACCATTAAACGGGTCAACGGGTCGACGGTTCGACCACTCAGGTTAATGGGTCATTAACCAATTCAACAGTTTTTCGCCAGGGACCGAGATTGGGGTAAAACAGAACTGGTTGCCTGGATGGTTCCCAATTAAAAAAAAATGAATACCCATTCTGACAACAAAAATTATAGGCAAAAAATTGAGTGTGTGATGTCCATTAAGTAGTACCATATGTGTTGTGTCATTCGAGCATGTGACTCATACAACCTGAAAATGGAATCGTTCTGGCCACCGATTTTTGGGTCGACGGTTTGAATGGATGGCTCGTTCTGACAACAAAAATTAAAAAAAAAATTAAAAAACGACTAAAAACCATTGAACGGGTCAATGGTTCGATCGCCTGGGCCAATGGGTCGTTGACCAATTCAACGAGTTTTTGCCAGGGACCGAGATTAGGATAAAACGGAACCGATTGCCTGGATGATTCCTGATGTGGCATAATCCGGTTGCTCCCTGCTAGAGATGATCTGGCTGCCAACAACGACGGGGACTGAGTAACCTGCAAGAGATGAATCAGAGATCCCGGGGTGGCTTACCCGGGGGGGACACCCCGATGCTTAAGTTAGCACTTAGTAGTAGAGAGCTTGAAGATGATATCAGAGAGTTAGAGAGCTAGAGAGCAAAGATTACGCATTATACCTTCGCCCCTGGGGGGTGAGGTCTTTATATACCGGAGTCCCTGCGGGTTTGGTGGAGCAGTTCCTGAATCCTCGTTGTGATGGGATCCGCTTTCATGTTAGGTGGGGATAATGCCACCAACCAATAAAGTTGCCCATCTCTGCTTGAATCAGGGAGTGGGTGAGCTAATATAGTCGTTACAAGTCAATCCCGTAATATGCGGGGTATGGTGGTGAGATCCTCGGGGTTGTCATGCGGAGGTCGACCAAACTAGGTAGCGAGTTGACTATGAAGTGTCAGGCTGCTTGGTGGCGAGCTGCCTATGAAGTGTCGGGCTGCTTGGTGGCGAGCTGCCCGACATGCTCTGAATGTCGAAGTGCCTTAGTACTGAGGTGATTTTACACTGAGGTAGACTTGTCTTGAGGTGGATTCTTTTCGAAGTGGTCCATCTGTCCGGGTTCAATCTGTAGCGGACTTGATATCATTATCCTGGTCGCGATCTGATACCGAGGTGATCTTAGTTCGGAATAGCTTTAGTTCGGGGTATCAGGGTACCCGAGGTCGCTTTGTAGCGAACTGATCATGTTGAGTTGTCACTTGTGTTGAGTCACGTCCATGTGCCTCTCTGTTACAAGGTCGGGCCAAATTTCCCTTCATCAATTCCCAATTAAAAAAATAAAAACAGCTAAAAACCATTTTATGGGCCAACGAGTCGATGGTTCGACCACTCGGGTCAATGGGTCATTGACCGGTTCAATGGTTTTTAGCCAGAGACCGGGTCAACAGGTCGGCGGTTCCATTCTAGCCCCTACGGAGCAGGGCCCCTCCGCTAGTGTATCTATTAATAGGAAATGAGTGCTCTCTGCATCCATTTCCTATTAATAGATATATATAAGATAACAATAATTACTGATTATTATAGTAATTAATTACTGTAATTTAATAATTATTGATTATTACAGTAATTTAATAAATATATAATTAGTGATTATAATTAATAATTACTGATATTATAAACACTGTTAATAATTAGATATTTACTTTAAATTAAAATTATAAATATTGTTAATAAATTTAGCAACCCAATTTTAAAAATTATAGATTATTATAGTAATTTAATAAATATATAATTAGTGATTATAATTAATAATTACTGATGTAGCGCAATCTGGTCACGCCTAGCTGGCAGGGGCCTCGCTCCTAGCTGGCAACGGACAACACCTAAGAAGGAGAAGAAGATGAAGGATTCCCGGGGAGCTCGCCCAGCGGGAACACTTCGATGCTTAAGTTAGAACTCAGTGGAGAGCTTAGAGAGTTGTAAAGGAAAATGAGCTAGGAGTGGAGATGCGCACTTACTCAAAAAAAACTTCCCTTTGCCCTTGGGAATCGGGGCCTTTATATACTGATGCTCTGTCAAATCGGGTGTAATCGCCTCTGATTATCTACTAAAGCCGTTATTCGCCAGGCTGATTCGATTGGTGCAGGTAACCATCGCAGAGTACGGTCCCATCAGGTAACCATCGCAGAGTACGGTCCCATCAGATATGGCGTGCATGACGCTGCCTAATGTGAGACGTGGGCGCAGTCCTCTGGACTGGCAGGTGCTGCGCTGCCAGACAAGAGACGTGGGAGCAGTCTGACAGGCACGGTCTTGTCGGATAAGAAGTTTCTCAAAGACTCCGGGTTACTCAATAGCGAGC